CAACATCTGGTTGATCCGTTGGCAACGCTGGGCGAACAAGCTACGGAACCCGACCGGTAATTTCTCAACTTGCAACTTTTTTTGTCCCCAGGTGCAGAGCAGTGGCCAAACGAACTTCGAGAATGCGGGGGTGCAGAGAGCAGTGTGTAATCGTCAGTTGCATTTACAATCGATTGCAAGAAAATCCCTAGTAGGCGGAAATAGCCAAAGCTGCGTACCCCCAAAGTCCTACGTCAGTAAAGGGCCCGCTCTTAGTAACAAAAGAAGAAAACTTGCAATTTATCAAGTAATATTACGTTGTTTATGAATTGTATCCTGTTAGGGGGCCTGGTAAATTTGCTTAATTCAGTTGACCCAATTGTGAGGTTAGACTAAGGCAACTAAATTTTTGTTTGATTGAGACGTCACAGGAGATAGATATTTTGTAAGCTCACATGTGGAAATGCCGATCAATGATTAATAACTTTTAATGAAGTTGTTATGTGCAATTGTAAACGTACTTTTTTGTGTAAATTGAGGGAGATTTCCTTCCGTCACATGTATTTGTAATTATTTCGGCTGCTTGATCAGGATGAGAGTCATATCTTTCTTTAAATATTAGTGAACACTGTATGATTTTCAGTGTTTTCATTCGACTGTCCATAAATAAGGATTCTGGTCTACGTGCTTACCAAAACCTTCAAAACAAGATATTTCTTAAAAGCATTTACCCAAATAGTTAGTTTTTGGAAATTCTTTCTTATGCAGCTATCTGTTCAGGTCATTGTTTTAGAATCGCCTAAACATGTCCACTCATTGCCGCGAAAAGTGAACGTACACAACAAAAGTCACAAACGAATATGTCTACTATGAATTTCAAAAACTTTCTATAACAAGTTCCCCCTTTGAAAAAGAGCTTTAGTTAGATATTTTGATGCCGGATATCTGCATACTTTGCCTTTTTCGAAATTCTAGACAAAAATGGGAAGTTTGGGCCGGTTTTTTTTTTATTTTGCTGAAAATAAGGGATAAACCTTCTGCTGAAAATGAAGAAAATCACTTTTCTGTGTATAGTGGAGCAGTTTTTAGTATATTTGTTTACGTTTGGATCCCGTTCTAAGATTGCAAAGGCACCACGGAGTGGCAGAATATATTCTACGATTTTGCGGACCCTTATAATATTCTGTCCGTTTCGTTTCGAGTCTCCGCTTTCGTTCATACTGAACTGTAGATAGGAAATGTTTGGGTTTCCTATGTCATGAGTTAGGAAATTTACTGTTTATTATGAACTAGTCGCAAATCACTGCTGTGTCATGGTCCAGTTGACTGGCGTTTTGGACCACATACAACAAACTTCACAACGCCTTTCCACCACACAACCGACGTTTTGTAGCCTATGTTCACGACCGTGGACACACACTGGATGGTAGGCTGAATACGTCTAGACCCGAATTAACCGACTAACATGTAAACTCTTAAGCTGGAGAGGGGGTCTTCACAATTTAATCGGGGCTAGACGGACCGCTGGCTTTATTCTTCGCAAAAGAGCAGTTATAAGCGTGCCTGTAAAAAGTATACACACTTTGTATGTCTTCCAGTATACTGAAATAAAAAATTGTATCTGACTCCCAAGCTGCACGCTTGCCAAACATGATTATGGAACTGCATATGCCAATAGGTAGCCATCATTGATGAAAAGTGCCCCCTCCCTCTGAGAGTTTGTCTTTATCCCAAGTCAGCGGAACTGAAGATAATAACTACGACATCATCTTTCCATCGGAAGAGGATGTCTGTACGTCCGAAGACGAGCTTTCCATGAAAGACGGTAAATTTATTGTCTGAGCCGTACTTGTTCCCCGCCTTCGCGTCCACTTGGCGCAAAATTTCACTCAATTCACTGGACACACGTCGCCAAAGTGTTTCCTCAAAAGCGCTTTTAAGTATATGTGTTTTCTCGTGTGTTTTAGTGCACTGAAAGAGACAAAATATTGTAGTAAGTAGGATAGTTCAACATGGGTGGATGACGCAAATCTGACAACACCCGCACATATGCCCCTGCGGAAAATGTATACGCAAAAACAGGCGCGTCGCCCAAATGACCGACCTATCAACGTACGAGAATTTGATCACTGCGTTCGTGATATGAATCGGATGTCAACTGGCAACCAATCAATATCTAACCTTGAAGAACACGTAACTGTAAAATTACGAATCGGGGTTCACTGCCTTAAGGGTAAATGCAACGTCGTCACTCCACGTGTTACACTGATCGACGATAGAATAATGTCCGTGTGTTTGAATGAAGTCATCGATAGCTGAACCTCAGGACCATAGAGTGTTCAAAAGAAACGCAGTTTAGATCGTTTCCCCCGTTTTTCGGTCTAACCAGTGCTCTCTTTATTGATCTTACAACGATTTCAGCTAGCAGAGTCTGGTGTACTCGGCGATACCCAAGAGGACCTTTCGGCGTTTCATTTGCACAACACTATTGAGCGCAAGACGGTAACGTTCGGTAAAGATTCAGTTCATCTATCACCACAGTACCAAAAACAATGAGTTTCTTTAATACGGGACCAGTAGTAATAGGAGTCAGATTGGTGAGTCATAGCAGGGCGAAGAAAAACAAATAAAAATTGGAGTGTAGTAAAGTTTAAAAATGTAATAATTGTTTAAATAATCTAGTGTTTGGCGCGCGCTAATTACAATTGGAAATACAACCAATCGAAACAAGAATTGCACAAATAGGGTACTGCGCCAAGAAGCGTGAATTTTCGAAAGTGAAGTTAAACCATGAAAGATTTGCTTTTTCCACATCTTAAGCCGAAAATCAACCGCGCGTCGCTAACAAAACTTAAATAAACTAACGTAAGCTACACTCAAACTAATCAAGCTAAACTGAACCCTTAAGCAAAACTAAGATAAGCTTAACTCATCCAAAATTAATAAAACAAAATAATACATTAAACACTAGACGAAAATTAAACTGGACTAAACTGACTTAACTAAATAAAAATAAAAGGGACCGTAGGACTTTTAAGGTTTCCGTGTAGGCTGTGTAATAGGTTGGTAAGTGCTGAATACGCACGTAAGAAAACAGGCTCACTGCAACGAAATACGTAGTTAGTAATGTATAGTAAATTACTGTGGTGATGTGTGAACGGAATCCTTACCTAACGTGTTTAAATGGGGGGAAATTTGCTTCAACCAACCCCCAAGTAATGTTTGCTGGACGTTGTTGAGCGACACTAAACTTTTGCGCATGCCTGCAACCCCCAGGGTCGTCCCTTCCATCTTAGTTTAAACGGGATGCCACAACTGGCAACTGGGTTGGTTCAGGTGCTAAACCAAAAAACCGTACTGCCTCATTCAACGAAAACAACATGGGTTGGTGGCTTACATGATAAACGATGATATTAATTCAAAAAAGGCCCCTTGCGTTTTCACTGACATATTTCCACCGAGACACAGCAACTACTTTAAAATAGCATCACCACCGTACCGTTAAAGTGTGTGCGAATCGTAGATTAGACTTTATCTCCTTCCTGAGAAGAGACTCCTTATTCTCACTTTCAGTTTCGAGCTCAACAAGGAAGATCGCCTGTGGGAGGATCTCTTCGGCAAAGACTCAGCCATGAACCCCTCGCTCGCAGCGGTGGCACTTCAGGGCTATCCAACGGTAAGCCAAGCCCTCATTTTTTTACCAGTTGATTGGCTATCTCATGAAGTGTCGACAAAAATTATGAAATGGGTGTTCTTTTTGAAAGGGTTGTAATCTAATGTGATCATTCAGCCTAATCTAAGATACTAAAGTCAAGGAAGGCAGGGTGCACGCTTTTGAATGGGCTTCTTTCTGGATGCTTGCGAAAACTACACACCGTAAAAAAATGGCTACTTATATGATGTGAATTTTCTCACTGATTTTTGATTTCATTATGGATTTCAAATATAGTTCATAGATAACATACACCGAAACATTGTATTGGCTGAAGACTTTGCATAGTGCTCCTAAAATCTTGCAATGGACGTGGGCCCTAGCGTATACTTTATATGCAGCCTTAATACATGGACAAATACGATGCCTTATGAATGGCCATTTCGCAGTCTTAAGAATATGTCATAATTAGAAGCTATTTAAAAACCACAAGATACAATTTCTCTAAGTATAGAATTTTAAGAAGACATAATTTGCTATAAAATAAATACAAGGAGAATATTTTTCATGTCTTCTATAAGATGTAATCCAAGTTATAAGCCCATCGATATGGAATTACAAAAATGCATACTATTTAAGTAGGCAAGTTTGCAAATTTTCGGCTTTGTAGGCGGTCGGAAAAAAGCTCCTTAAAAAGCCGGCGTAAGGGCATGACTGAAATACCCTGGGTTTAAACTGCATGAGCAGTACCATTACAATTCTACTTAAATAATCATTTTTCGAACCAAAAACACATTTCAAAATTTGGTTGACATTTCATGAGATGAAAGTGTTTCTGTATCAAGTTGAAAGCTACCTACTGACGGACACGGATGCCCAAAATGGTCGTCTAGCAATTAGGGATCTTAAAAACTATTAGAACGACCGCTCCTGGTTTATTGGTCGTTGGGTGCTTCGTATTCCCAAACTGAGGCCCTAGCAACTTTTTGTGGAAGACCTATGTCTAACTGAAGAATTACCGGCAAACTTGACACGTAATGCTAATGGGTGTTACCTAATCGCTAGATTGACGCTTAAAGGCTTATTTATCCGGGACTCAATTTATAATTATCTGATGAGGAGGGAAGCAGCGTGGGTGTGTCGTTTCAGTCTTGCGGACTGTGTACTCCCACCCCATAAAAGTCGCCCTGCGCATCATAAATTATGATGAACTTTCATCCGACCGCTAGCGGAACTAATCCGTCCCGCTCTATTTAGTGTCTCGACAGAGGCCCTGACAGCCGTGGCAGCTAGCAACACGGGGACTGACCGTGTCTTCAAGCTCGCAGCAAACCTGCTCCGTCAACTCCTTAGACCCCCATCCGTTTCACTTAACCAGGCCGCATCTGAATTTTTGAATTACGATTCCTTTCACCGTTTTCCTGTATTCTGACCATTCATACTGAAAGATACAAATGGGGAGACTTACTTGGATGAAGTTCATATTGCCTTGTTTAGTTCCCAAGGAACTGCATCCGCGAACCTGGCTTAAATCCTTCTAAACAAATCTTTTCATGCTCTGTCCGAACGTTTATCTACTTGACCTGAGCTACAGAATATACTGCTGAATAACCGCGGAATATTTACGAGCTGCTGCTCAAGTGCCTTGTGTGAAATCCTAGTGCTGGTGTTTAAGGAGCCAGGTCGTGTATGTAGTACGCACAGACGAGCTCAACAGCTGCGCTCATTCCCCGCATCTGTCCACAAGCCAGCTTAGCTGGCGTCTGGAAATGGAAATAGTTATTTCGACAACTTAGAACATTGTAAAGAAGACGAAGACGCGATCTCTGGAACGATAGTTTTATTCTGA